GGAACCACGGGTGAGTGGACAAATCCGTCATGGAGCTGGAGGAGATGCCATCCTTGCCCAGACACTGACCTCTGGGGGGCCACACACCCGTCCTTTCCCCAGCCTCAGTTTTCCCATGACAACCTCTGGGCTCCTCCCACGGCTGGCCTGGGGGGGGGGTAAGGTGTGCCAAAGGGTCTTGGCAAAGGGTCGCTGAGGGAAGGTGAGTGATGTGTTTCCAGAGTGTTCTGAGGCCCAGAGACAGCCCATGAGCCCGAGAGGCAGGGAGGGGGCCTCCCAGTCCATGCATGGCCAAGTAGATCCATCAGCCTCTGCATCTGGGACCCCAGGGTGTGACACGTGCACCCCAAGTGACCTGGCTGAGGAGCAGGTCTGGGGAGGGAGGGGGCTCTCCCTGGTGGAGGCGGCGTCTTGGAGGGCAGCTGGGGAGCCAGGGGCTGGGTCAGGCCCTCTGCCTCGCTTCCAGCAGGGCTGGCTCGCTCCTGAGGGCGGGCCCCGCCCTTATCCCCTCCCCCTAGCCCTCTGCCCTCACCTGAGCCCAGTGCAGCCCCAGCCCCACTTCCCTACCCCTGTGCACCTGGCCTCACCCCTGCCCCTCCTCCCAGCTCCTCTGAGTTTTCGGGGAACTTGCAGCAACCCCTTGTCTGGTCTCCCATCCACCCCAGGGCCCCCACGCTGGGGCCAGGACCCCCAGAGCAGGCTTCTGCACAGCTCAGCTCCCCCCATCCCCGCCACTGCCGGGTGCCTGGGTGGCTACTTACTACAATTTTAGAAATACTGAAACTTACACAGAAGCAAAGCCCACAGTGTCAAGGCTGTATCCGCCGGCCGGCTCATCAGTGGCTAATTCAGAGCGGGTTGGTTTAATCTCCACCCGGACCGCTGCCCCTCCCTGCTGATTATTTGGAAGCAATTCCCCGACATCACATCGCCCGTCCGGAAGCACTTCAGTGCGTGCCTCCAACACGTGTGGCCTCTTTTTACCCTGAAGTTCGGTTCATACATCCCTTTTTAATTCATTCTACTAGTTTTCAGAATAATGAGCCCTAGAAACTGATGAAGCGCCAGGAGGGTATTTTTAGTACCATAATGAATTCACGGGCTTTAGTATACTTGACAATTCTTTTGGATGCTTCAATTGTTCTGCTGGTGCTCGGTCCCTCCTAAAACTTTTCAGCAGACAGAGCCAGAGAGCAGCTCTAAGGTGAAGCAGCTGAGGAGTTTATGCTGATGTTCCCAGTTCAAATCTCAGGATTGGTCGCTGCTTCTTTGACTGTGTGTTTGTATCTCCTTTCTCTCGCCTGAGAGTCTTCGTCCCGGAGGAACTGAACGCGGTGCAGGCACTACGTGCACACGTGGGCGTATCATTTCACAACAACGATGCAAATACCATTACTAATGGTACGGTCTTTGGGCTCCTTCTGTCTTTTGGGTGTGGGTGACAGTACTGAGAAGGGGCCGCACTGTGTGGCTGTACCTGGCTGAGTCAACTAGCTGAGGGACATTCTGGTTGTTCCTAGTCCTTCTCTAATGCAAATGATGTTGCAGCAAATAGCCTTATGTCCAAATCGTTCTCTGCTTGTCCCACGTATCTTTGGGTCAGAAGATGGAATCAGCTGGCTGGGCCAAATGGGACATTGTGCTTTTCCTAACGCCACCGGGACCCCTGTCCCACCGATGACAGTGCTCACCCTCGGTCCTGCCCACGGAGCCCGCGGTCAAACGTGTGGATTTCCGCCAATCAGGTAGGTGAGCAATGCTGTCAGCATGTACTTTCAATTTGCATCTTTCTTTCTTCTTTTTACTCTCTCTCTTTTTTATTTACTTATTTTTAATTGTTTAATTTTATTTTTTATTATTAAAATTTTTTTTAGTTTTTTTGGGAGATAATTAATGGAACTTTTTTTAAAATAGAGGTACTGAGGCTTAGAACCCAGCACCCCATGCATGCTATGCACACGCTCTACCACTTGAGCTATACCCTCTCCCCTGCTTTGTATTGAAGTGCAGTCGATTTACAATGTTAGTTTCAAGTGCACAGCAAAGCCACTCCGTTACACATATGCATACGTATTTTTCTTTTCAGATTCTTTCCCACTATGTGTTATTACAAGACACTGAATACAGTTCCCTGTGCTCTACAGTAGGCCCTTGTTAGCCTCTCTTTAAGAGGAGGTGCTGGGGATCGAACCCAGGACCTCGTGCATGCTAAGCACACACTCTGCCACTGAGCTGTACCCTCCCCAACCCCCCGCATCTTGTTACGGGTGATGTGGAGCATTGTTTTCTTGGTAAGTGCGAGGATCACGATCCACTTTCCTGTGAGCTGTGCACGTCTCTCGCCCCCTTTTCCACAGGGCTGTCTGTCACTTCCTTCTCGGTTTTAGATGTCCTTTCTGTGCCAGTGCTGAGTCCTTTGCCTGTGCTGTAAATCGCACGTGCTTGTTCCAGTTTGTCACTGGCCTGTTTTACTGCGCTGGCTTCAGCTATTGTCTCTGGATTTTGGCCATAGCTGGAGATGGTTTCCCAGCTCACAGCCTGTTGAGGGACTCACCCGTACTTTCTCGTAGACGCTACACGGTTTCATTTCAACCTTCACATCGATACCTCTGGCCCATTCGAAATTTACTTTTGCACGTGTGGGCAAATGGATCAGTTCTACCTTTTCCCCTTTCTCTATGACTCTCCAGTTGTTCCAGCTCTGCATGTTAGAAATTCATCTTCCTCCTGCTGATTGGGGTGTGGCTGTACAGACACCGTTCATTCATGCATGTCTTCATTTGGAAAGTATTGACTGAATGCCTGCTGGTGCCCTGGCTGTCCCCGAGCCCTGCGGAGGCGGGCTCTCCGCCTTCTTCTGGCTCCCTGCCCATTTTGTGTCCTAGGAGATGCACTTCTCAGCAAGCTTTCCGCGCCTTAGCAGCCCTGAGTCTCCACACTGCCCAGCACAGGCTGGGACCAACTTTGTTCATTCTTTCTGCCTACACAAATGTGCCAGCACCATCCGAGGTGGGAGGAGTCAGGGGTGAAGGGCCGAGCTGCACTAGGTCCAACAACAAGAGCTGACTTTATTTACTAACAAATCAGCCCCAGGCGCTCAGTGAAGACCTGGGAAGTGTCTCATAGATGACAGGTCCCTGACATGGCAGGTGGAGACTCCTCCGCCCAGGGCAATGTCCTGACGGAGGTCAGTATTTTTCTGCTGGACACTCATCCTTCATCCTCATGCCAGGGCAGTGTACAGGGACCCAAATGCCAGCGCAGGGTAGGGGACCTGTGCAATCATTCTGACCCTGTTACCCACCTCCTGACCCTAGCACCCACCTCTACACCATGCCCACCCAGGGAAACTCACAGGGCGCAGAAGCAGCTGGGTCCAGAGGACCAGGAGGACAAGACATCCAGTCTCCAATGCCTCTCCCTAGACCTGCTCAGGCAATCCTGCCAGCCTGTGCCCTGGTCAAACCCTGTCCAGGCCCCAGCAGCGCCTCCCTCAAGGGCGCCCTGCATCCTCCCGGCTCCCCCCACCTCCCTCTATCCCCTACCCACACATGGCTCCCATTGGGCCGTCCTTGACGGATGATGACCCCGTCTCATCTCCAGGGTCCGACAGCCCTGTGGGCACCGACCCGACGGCATTCTCTGCCTGCAGTGCGCGCTCAGCAACGCCCGGAACCCAGGAGGCGCTCAGAGCATTTGCCAGGCTAACGCGTCTGCCTCCTGATGCGTCCCTCCTTACCCCCCACCCTCTACGGAGCCACTCAGGGCAGGTGAAGTGGGTGCCTGAGCCCTTCACCGCCCTCCTGCCCGGGCCGCGCAGTTCGTGGTCACTGCGCCTGCTGACCTCGCGCCTTCCTTCCTCGCTGAGCTGGCGGCGGAGGGGGGCTGTCCTTTCGCCTAAGCAGGTGGGCGAGGGGGACCCAGAAGCACGTAGGCGCCAGCCGCGCCT